TGTTAGTCAACATTTATAAGTTGACTAACGTCATACCTAATTTGACTCAGTCAACAAAAAAATTTAGGATTTAAAAAAAAAATCAATAGAAATTGATGATTTATATTGTCTGCACCATATTTGGTGATGCTAATGGCAAAAAGAAGTGAACTATATATTTGTTTTGAACCGACTAATTAAGAAATTATGTTTGTGAAAACAGTCGAAACAAAAGAAAATAAGTATGCCTAAATATCACGTTATTGAATCGGTAGTTTGTTCGACAAAACAAAAGAAAAAAGAATCGGTAGTCACAGGCAGATCACGTGTAAAATGTCAATTACGTGGAAATGTACAAACTTTTCTAAAACTTATGGTTTTGGCCTTTTGCTCCATGTGGTAACTTTACGTGACAAATGCTAACTAAAATTACAGACGCCATGCAATTTTATTGGGCTTACTATTGGGCCCACACACACACAAAAAAACTTCAATCACAAAACCCAATTTTCTCGTTTCCAATAGATGTTAATTTGACATGGTTGGAGCTCAAACCTACGTTAGGTTGTTAAATAAGGTGAAGCATTAGCATGTGACTGTGAGTATCATATAGAAGAATTGGATCCAAATAAATCGATTTAGACCGAGTTTGTTCGATAAAAACCGGACATGTTGGTAATGGTAAATGACCGGTTTACGTGGCTGCAGGACTGGTTTAGTTGATGGCTGTGGAGGTGGCTGATGAGGCCCATTAGTGTCGGGATTTGGGAAATGAAAACAAAGTTGATTGAGAGTGATGGTGTAGTAGTTAGTAGCACTAATGGCTACATGTTGGATTTCTGCCACGTGGCGATATATTCTTATCCACATGAGTCATGATTGACCACGACATCGTAGGCCTGAGGATAAATGCAACAGATTTGGGCCCTTATGAAGAATTTTAAGCTTTTTTTATTTGTCTTTCGGCCCACTATTTTCGATCATTTATATAGGCCCAATGATACGTACAAGGCCTCTTCCGACAACTTAATAAATAAATGTTGTCTTCCATCTGGAATTTGATTTTTCATGTCTGTAAAGAATTGAAAAAGGGTCAAATATTTTGTGAACATCGAAATTTAGTTACATAAACGAAAATTAACTACTTTCTTTGACTGATTTTCTTTAAAATCAGTGATCATTTTGTGACCTAAGTTCGCTATGTAACGAGTAATATTTGTAATTTGGTTGTACGATTAGTTAAAGAGTTAAGACATAGAGCCTATATGAATGTAGCAATGTAGCATAATACATATATGTGATGAAATTGACCCACCACCACATGAGATCAATCTTTATCATACACATGGGCTGGTGG